AGCAGAAAACCTTGTTACTCAAAAAGCCAAGGGATCCCTAGCACCACCACCAAAAAAAAAAAAAAAAAAAAAAAAGCTAAAGGACTTGGGCTCCTGATCCCTATATGGCTCAATGGCATTCTAAAGAAGAGGACTCTGCTGCTCAGATACTGCTATATAGCTGTTGTTGTCTCTTTTTTTCTTTAAAAAATTTATTAAGTCCTTATTGCCTGCTGGATAAGGTTCCTGGTGTGACATGGTAGTTCTTGTCACCCTACCCCAGCCTTCATTCCTGGTTCCCCTGCCCCAGCCCTGAACTGTTCTTACCCCTCTTTAGACCACAGGTTCCTCCACTGCTGTGCTGCTTGCAGCCACTCCACAGGTACCTGCCAGCACTCATGTTCTTACACTTGTGAATGGTGGCCGATCTGATAGGTGAGAAATGTTATCTCAGTGATTTTCATTTCTCTTGTTTGGAGTAGCCTGCATTTTGATCAGGTAGTCACACTTCTTGTCTTTGTTTATGCTGTTAGTGCTCAATGAAAATGAAAGGCCTACAAACCCCTGACCTTCTCCCCTTCATCAAGGCCTCCTGTTTCAGATCCAAGCTAAGATATCCCCTCCTCTTAGTGCTCTGAGTCTTTCAGTGTGGGATGACTTGTGCCCCTTCTGCACTTGGAGGCATGTACATAGTTTAGGGATGTCCTGAGGGAGAGACCTGGCTCCAACTTTACTTCCCAGTGATGACAGAATGCTTATAAAATGAACAGTGCTTACTAAATATTTGCTGGATTAGTTGAATAATGATTTTAAATCATGTATGAAACAAGATTAGTATTTTTGTATTAGTATTTTTGGCTTGAATTCTAACTGAAAGTTTAAAGTACGTGCAACCTTAATTTTATCCATATTATGCCATGGTGTTCTCAGATGTAATAGTCAGTGCAAATAGGGAAATACAGTATTTCAGAATTCTTAAAAGAGCTTTCACAATATTTCTTTCAGCTATAATTAATAAAAAATCTCTTATAAAAAAGCTCAGCAGTGTGGTGGCGCACACCTGTAATCCCAGTGATAAGGAGGATGGCAAGTTCAAAGCCAGCCTCAGCAAAAAGTGAAGCACTAAGTAACTCAGTGAGACCCTGTCTCTAAATAAAATACAAAATAGGGCTGGGGATATGGCTCAGAGGTTGCGTGCCCCGGAGGGCGCCCCCCCCCAAAAAAAAGCACAGCACCATCATATTGTTGTGTCATTTAAAAAATCACTTGTATTGGGTCTGGGGTTGTGGCTCAGCGGTACAGCGCTCACCTCGCTCGTGTGAGGTCCTGGGTTTGATCCTCAGCACCACATAAAAATAAATAAATAAAATAAAGGTATTGTGTCCAACTACCACTAAAAAATAAATATTCGAAAAAAAACACACTTGTATTTTCAGAGTCCAAAATAAATCCGTGATATGGGCAAATTCAATGTCCAATAGTAACTGAAAGGCAGCCCACAACACCAGTTTCTATAACTCTAGTGTAGGTTTTTCCTTGCCAGGAAAAAGTTGTACTACAACTCTACACAGAAGTTTGTATAAGACTGTTTTAATTTGAAAACTTTCAAAAATGCCATTTCTGAGGCAAACTAAATGTCATATATGCTTAAGTGATAGGACAGTGAATAGAAAATATTTACATGTTATATATCAGGAAATAGAAATTTTTATTGAAAATGAATTTGGCGATTACAGCAATGATTAGCTGTTGCTAAGTTATTTAACTTAATTCTTTTTTTAAAAAATACTTATTTCGTTGTAGATGAACACAGTATCTTTATTTATTTTTATGTGGTGCTAAAGATTGTACCCAGTGCCTCACACATGTGAGGCAAACACTTTACCACTGAGCTATAGCCTCAGCCCCTTAATTTAGTTCTTAATGTTATTTTAGTAATACTAGATTTATAATTTTTAAAGGGATGGTTCCGCCCCCATTTTAGAAAAGGAAGAGATAGTGGGAGTTGGAGGAAGGGAAATGGGAATGGAATATAGAATAATAATTGCCAGCATCAAGGATCAGAATAACAAGATACAACACATAAAAACATACATTTCTATGAAAAAAACATGAGACCACGTAGAAGGATAGAAACAGCCTCAATGTTTTACAGAGGAAAGCATAAATTAATCATGGTGTTTTTCCTTAGTGCATCAGGCAACTATTAGATTGATTAGAAATGAAGACCTTATACAAAACAAGATACTTAATAAATTGTTGAGTGAAAACCAGTTGATAAATTTATATCTACTCTATGTTCATAATTATGTAGAAATATGTATCCGGAGGGATGTAGACAAGATGAGATTTTTTTTCATTTTGAAGGTTTTATTTATTTTTTATTTTTAGTGCTAGGGATTTTACCTAGGGGCACTTTACCACTGAGCTACATCCCCAGCTTTTTTTTTTTTACTTTGAGACAGGGTCTCGCTATATTGCTGAGGGCCTCGCTGAGTTACTGAGGCTGTCCTTGAATTTGTAATCCTCTTTTCTCAGCCTCCTGAGTCACTGGGATTATAGGCATGCAACAACACACACAGATTGAAGTTTTTTGTTTTTTTTTTTTTTAGACAATTCCGTTTTTATTTTTTTTAAGTTGTAGATGGACATAATACCTTTATTTTATTTCATTTATTTTTATGTTGTGCTAAGGTTCGAACCCAGGTCTCACATGAGCTAGGCAAGTGCTCTGATCCTGAGCTACAATCCCAGTCCCAAGAACTCTGTGGTTTATAAACTCTTCAAAAAATCAAACTACTTTTTAGAGAAAGTAGCATTAAAATTATAAGTGGGTTTGTAAAAAATGTAATTTTAACAAACATAAAGAGAAATATTAAACTAGATTTGTAATAAAGGGTAAGATCCAGTTTAATTTTAGCCTTCTGCCTCTTACTAGCTGAAAAAAAAAAAATCCTTGGTAGTATCTTTTTCTCAGTTATTTCAAAGAGACACTTTGGTTTCATTTTGGTTTGTTGGTTTTTCCCGTGTCTGTGGTTTGGGGTATTTTCTCTATCTGGTCCTCCATTCAGATGTTGGGTGGCATTCTGGTGTTCATCTCATCATTCCTATATTCCACCAGAGTCTCAGAAACAGCAGAAACTTGGGGGCAGGGTTGTAGCTCAGTAGTAGATAGAGCACCTGGCTAATATGTACCCACCTCAAATAAAGAAAAAGAGTAGAAATTTGGATACTGATATGGAAAACACTCGGGACACCATTTTGAGGCCCGGTTGGGTGGGCCTTTCTCTCACCTGGCATTGGGCGCACACTGGTATTGAGAGGTCCTGGGAATGTGGCTCCCCACTGCCCTCTTAGTCTGCATGCATCCCAGTCCCCACCCATAGCTCCACTCATCCCTGGATCTGACTTCCCCTCAGCTTGCTAAATCTTTTCTAGGTTTCTAGCAGCACTTCTTTCCTGCTCTGCCTTCTGCTTTGCCTCCCTTTCCCAAGCCCTACTTCCTAGCTTCCTTCAAAGTTATCCTCAGTAAGTTCTGGAGTCGGGATTCTCACAGTTGCCAAACGATGTGGGAGTGAGTATGTGTGGCCTTGCATTTGGCTTGCTAAGGGACCATTGTGGGCAGGGATCATGGTGGGCCCAGCTGCAGTCCTAGTATTCTCTGTCCTAAGCCCCCTGGTGCCTTCATTCCTTCCTTTCAGTGTGTGTTAAATATATTAGAGATAAATATCCAAGTTATTTTGCAATGAACTGGCTCAAACCAATTTTATCTTTTCTGTTTTTTTCCCTCTAGAGGAAATTATTTTAAGCTTTTATTGCTGAACATCCATTTTTAACAGCCTGTTGGTAGGGCTGAGAACACAGTTACTAGGAAGTAAGTGAGAGATGAAATTCTGGGGTCCTTTTGACCCAATGTGGTGGACCAGGGCATGGACAGGGCTTTAGGCTGTGCAGCATCTACTGTGTTGCCTTTTGTCTGTGCTCTTCTCAGAGTAGAGTTTGAAATGGGGCTGTGTGTGTTCAGGTTATCAGAACAAACCCTGTGTTGAGCGCATGGCACTGATCTCAGCTCCTTTTTCCTTTTCCTTTGGAACTGGAAAGTTTATGGCTTGAAGGAAAAACAAACAAACAAACAAACAAACAAACAAAAAAAAAGAAAATTCATGAACTTGAAATATTGTTGAGAATTTGTTCTGTTTATATCATATAATTCTATCATGTCCTTCTGGACTGTTTTCTGATTTTCTTTTTCTATGTGGGACATAATTATGTCAGTGTTGCACATACAATGGAAGATTACCGTTGGAGAGAAATAAAGTTAGAAAGAAAAGTGCAGCCTTGCGATGGAGCTGGCGGGAGTGCTGTGATGGGCATGTGGTATTTAGGTTCTGGTCTCATCTCTGTTATAACTGTCTCTGTGACTGTCAAGTTATGTAACTGCACTGAGCTTCTGTTTCTCACCTGTAAATGAGAAAGTTGTTAAATGATATCTAAGCGTATTTGCTTCTCACTTTATTATTTATTTATCCAACAATTACTTATCAAGTGCCTGTTGAGTACCAGGCACTGTTTTAGGAATGCTGGAGTTATGGAGGCAACCAGACATTCATGTGGGGTGTGGGATGTCTGTCTACCCCACTGGACAGCAAAAATAGTGGTTGGAAGGACTTGCAGTTCTAGTCTTAGCTCTGTGTCTGATTTGGGTAGGACCGTTACCAGTCATTTAAATGCTTTGCTTCTTTATTTTCTCCTCTGTCAAAGGAAGATAGTAACACCTGATCTGTTTATCTGATACAGTTGTTATAAGACTCAAATACTGCATGTGGAAATACATTTTATATAGTAGTCATGTGTAGTATAGTGGTAATGTGACTTTAGTAGTGCAGAATATTACTTTGTTATTTATTACAGTGTCACATGCAAATTACTAATGGTTATTTGGGAGAATCCTGTTAACTTAATATTGGAGTTTAGAGATATTTGAAAGATATGAAGTGTATTTGTTTTTCTTCTCTTTACAGAAAAAGATAATGCTAAATATGTTTTTAGACACAATGATGGCAGACCCTCCCCCACAGTGCCTTGTTTGGCTACCTCTCATGCACAGGCTTGCCCATGTCGAGAATGGTGAGTGGAAAATTTATTGTTCAGTTTTTTTTTTTTTTGTGCTGTAGGGAATAAGGAACTGATTATGTACAGTATCCTTGGCTGTTATTGAAAATCATAATTGACATTTGCTGGCACACCGTTATTTGAATTTGTGGTTTTAGCATTCAAAAGAGGAATAGTTTTCTGAGGGAGAGACTCAGTACTCAGCTTGGATTTCAAGAAGTAATAGTACCAGGTCTTGAGACTTGGTGCTTTAGACTGGGCCTTTTCATCCTGAGATCACAGAGGATGGTTGACCCTTGAGCTGGCCTGATTTTGCCGTGACTTCCTTTTTGTTTCCTCTTTAATTTAGCAAAATCGTAGCTCTAAAGAGATGGATTTTTACATTATCAACCACTAAAACTATAATTACTTTTGAATAATTTGAAGATAATCGCTAAGATGCAATGTTGTACTAGGTGGCACAGCTGCCATTGTTCCTCACCATCTACCTGAGTGTCCCCTCAGTGTTCTTCTCAGTCATGTGACTTGACTCTTTGCTTTGTATTGAAATGATACTAATTTCTTACAAATTCTTAATGTTTTCTGATATCACCATCAGTTTACATTTAGGTTGTTGGGATTTATTAAAGGGAAGGCTGAAGCTTTCTGTGCAGCCTCCCTTCTCTTCAGGCTCTTGTCTGGCTCTCTCCATTACACAAAAAAGACTGAGGAGGAGCTGAGAAGCCACTAAAAAACAGCCTCCCCCCGCCCCCGCCCTCCACCACCACCTTCTCATACTCTGTCCCTTCTGTCCATACCTTGTATTCATACCTGTCCCTTCTATGCATACTTTTTTTTCTATCTTCATGGCTTTTGCTCAATAATAGCTTTAGTTCACTTATTTCTCAGATTCAGGAGTATTTTCTTAAAGTATCAGAATCTTTTTTTTTTTTTTTTTTGGTACCGGGGATTGAACCCAGGGGCACTTAACCACTGAGCCACATCCCCAGCCCTTTTTAATATTTTATTTAGATATAGGGTCTTGCTAAGTAGTTATGCTGGCTTTGGATTTGCGATCCTCCCGCCTAAGCCTCCGGAGTTTCTGGGATTATATAGGTGTGTGCCACCATGCCCGGTGACCAGATTCTCTTGACTGGATAAAAAAGCTAACCTCTTTAATAGGATTTCAAATAGAGATTTAAATTGTTAAATTGCCAGAATATTATTGTTTTTTTGAGGAGCAATGCTTTCTTTTGCCTTAAGTGTTTTAGTAATTTCATATCCAGTTCATTTTCATAAACATCATTTTGTGTCTGCTATGAGAAGTAGAAGGAACCTCTTTTGTCAAGATGTATTATTATCCATATTGAATATTTTGTTATGATTTTGTGTGGTATATTATGTATTGATTGCATTCTTTTTTTTTTTTCAAAATTTTTTTTTAGTTATACATGGACATGATGTCTTCATTTTGTTTAAAATATATTTATGTGGTACTGAGGATCGAACACAGTACCTCACATATTCGAGGCAAGCTCTCTACCACTGAGCTCTAGCCCCAGCCCCTGATTGTATTCTTATGTGGTTAGTGATATTACTTTTCTTTGGAGACAGAGAAATATTATGAAACCACTGAAATATCTAGGAATAAATCATCCTTCCCATTACATTAACATTTTCAATATGTCATTAAGTTTTTAAAATTTTTCTTATTTATTCTAATCAGCTATACGTGACTGCAGAATGTTCTTTGATTCATTGTACACAAATAGCACAATTTCTCACTTCTCTGCACTTTAGCAAAATAATACTTTCATCAGGTATTGTCATGAATAGTCATTGTCTTTTTTTTTTTTTTTAAAGAGAGAGGAAGAGAGAGAGAGAGAGAGAGAGAATTTTAATATTTATTTTTTAGTTTTCGGCAGACATAACATCTTTGTTTGTATGTGGTGCTGAGGATTGAACCCGGGCCGCACGCATGCCAGGGGAGCGCGCTACCGCTTGAGCCACATCCCCAGCCCCAGTCATTGTCTTATCAGTAACTAATCAGTGTACTCCCTCTTCCTCCCTGGTTCTCACTTTCCTCCCTGCCCACCTATTCTACCAGTATAAGTGAGCACTGGCTCTTGACTGGCTTAGAAGAGAATAGAAGAACATCACAGAAACATATATATGTTCAACCAAAATTATCAGAATGCATTCATTAATACCAATATACCTATATATTTCATATTAACCCAATTTTTACTTAGAATTATAAATACATTTCATATTAACCCAAATTTTTACTTAGAATTATATATATTGGCTACACTGATACTGTCTGGAGGTACTATACCACATTGTGTGCTTTTAATTTTTAGTATAAACTCTTATGGGCACTTTGTTATTCCTTCAAACTATGTTGACAAAAAGCAGACAGTTGAGATTTTTTGGTTCTAAGTTTGGTTTGAGCTTGGCTTTTCTATTAGGTTTGCTTTTCCTCTGTATCGACTGTTCTCCAGGTGAACTGTGTCTTTGTCCTTGTTCTCCCTTCCCTGCTCCATGTCTGACCGGCCACAAGTCTTCCATCCTGTGGAGTGTTCCTACTGCCGCTGCGAGAGCATGATGGGCTTCCGCTACCGATGCCAGCAGTGCCACAACTACCAGCTCTGCCAGAACTGCTTTTGGCGTGGCCATGCCAGCGGCCCGCACAGCAACCAGCACCAGATGAAGGAGCATTCCTCTTGGGTAACTGCCTTGTCTTTCAGTCTGTGCCCCAGACCAGGAATCTTGTCACTTGTAGTGATACCTGGGCCAGCATCCTAAAGGTTGCCCTACTGGATGAGGGGACGGCATAATGAAGTAGCTCCACGGTGATACTGGGTCGCAGAAGTGTTATGCTCCCTCACTTGATTTTAAAAGCAGAAATTTAAAGCGTTCCAGGAAGTGGAGATATTATTACATTTGAAATGGTCTTTTTTATTCAGTAAAATTAAATGTGACAATGCTCCCTTTCCAAAGTGAAAAAGTTTCTTCTGCATTTAGAATTAAACATAGGGTGTTTCCCCAGTGCTTATTCATTTGAGCTTTTAGTAGGCTTAAAGTTCTCTTTTCAAGCAAATTTTCTTCACTTTGGAAGGGTTTCCATGTTATAAAGCAAGTGATGTAAATAAAAGAGTTACATTTGGGGTTTCCTGTGTTGGGGGAAATATTGTATTTTATAATCAATGCCACATATGCCTTTATTTTCAAAAGTATTTTTAAAATAGCAATATTTGGGTGGAGGTTGATATCTTTTTTCCCCTGAGGTATTCATAAATCATGTAATGTGTATATCAATTTGTTTCTGGGGTTTGAAAATGTCATCCTTATCTTTCCATAAAGTTGCTCAAGTTTTTGTTTTAAAACCTTTTCTTTAGTTTTTGTTGGTTGGTTTGTTGGTAGCATTGCTAAGAGAAAATAGTAGGTCAGAAATAAAATTCTGGATCTTGGTTCTTAACCCTGGTCATCCTACTTTAATATTCGAATTTCAGGTATTAAAAAGCCTTCATAACCACCCCCTATTCCCACTTTAGTCTTCTTAAAACTCAACCAAGAAAAAGCAAATAAGCTCATAACAGGGATTAGCTAAAGAAAAAAAGTTAAATAAACTTCAATCCACTTGTATACTTAAGTCTGTTTCTTGCATCTCTGACAAAGTATTAGTGAGGTGTTTTTTTATTATTAGATAGGCTTTTCATAATAATTAACTATAAAATGTTAAACTGAACATCCTGCCCTGGGTCTTGTTTGTGTTATGAAATCTAACACTTTTTTTTTTTTTTTTGGTTGAAGGGTCATTTTTTAAGTCTTTAAAAAAATAAAGGAGAGGGGAACTCCAGTATTTTTCTTATTCATTGAGTAAGAAGACTCAGATTTTCAACTTTTTTCTTTTTCCTTTCGTGAAGTAGAAGTACTCACAGTGTTAAGTGGTGTGTGCATGTTTTCTTACTGTTTATTTGTTTAGAGTCTAATTCTTTGATGCTAAGGTAGCTTTTTGCTCTATTAAGTTTCACAGTGATTGGGTTCACTGGTGTGTTTCTACTGACAGTTCCCATTCTGATGTTGGAGTGAGGAGAATGAGGAATTTCTTGTTCTTCTTAGTTTGAACTTGCTCTTTTTGCCAATATATAACCCTTTCAAAAGGGGATATTTTACGTTTGTTTAAAGGTAAGCGACTGAGTACTACTCTATGAAAAATCTACTCTTATCATCAGGCATAGTTTTGAAGCTGATACCAGATACGTATCAGTTCTGAATTTCAGTGGATGTGTACATTGTGTATGGTGGGTGTGTACTGGCAGTTTGTGTGTCTTTATGTAACTGTTTTCAAAATTAAGACTGTGTGTATACAGTACAGCCCTTTGAGGAAGATGTGGGTGAATTTGAGTCTGGGTGAAGAAATTTCCATCTAACAGAAAGATGAGTGGTCAGTTTAATGGTAATTTCTTTGAAGGTTGTCCATTGTGTTGTCTGTACTAATATTTTGAGTGACTGTGACTCTGTGTTCACAACAGATGAATTTAGTGTGTTTAACCAGCTTGTGTATGAATTTACATTGTAGATGTGATCTTTGTAGTTTTTGGTACCTGGGAATTTATTCTGATTTTTCCAAAAGGTTCTGTTTAATGTTTTATGTAAGTAACTATGGTGTATAATTTTTAATATTCTTTTAATCCTCAATTCAGTTAGTTTGCTTTTATTCCAAAAGTGGCATCTGGCACTGAATTTGAGATTCATTCTGTTTATCCATTCATCGTTGCATTCATTTAAAAGGTATTTTTTTTGACCTTCTGTGTGCCAGGCAATGTAATAGGAACAGGGATACATCTGTGAATGAACCCCTCAAAGATTCCTCCATTTTGCAGCTTAAGTTTTAAAGAATATGAAGGAGACCACTATGGCTTGCTAACACTACTATTTCCTACACTTTCTGGGCATCTAGGCTACTTTTCTCAGCCCTCCCCCCTTATCTAAGTAGGGCCATGTGAATAGTTCTCACTAGTGGAATGCAAACAGGGTGATATGTGTCTTCTCAGAATTAGACAGTTACTACCAGATTGCCTTTTCTACCCTCTTTGATACTTTAGATGGGAGAATTCCATTGGGACCCAGGGGAGATTGAAGGCATGAAACAAAAGAAAACTGGGTCCTTGAATTACTGGTAGGGAAGAATATCTGCCAACTTGCTTGACCGGGAGGGGGAATGATAAAAACTTTGGTGTTAAGTCACTAAGTTTTAGTTGTTTCTACAATAATATTAGAAATGGAGTTCTGTTAAAACCTTAAAATTCATTGCATTGGCTTAGCAATCAGGTGGCACATTGATGAAAAAATTGATATGGAGAGGAGAAAGACAGAAACCCATATTATACCGTGATAACCAATTTGGTAAAGTTGTCATCTTTGATAACATGGACCGTAACTGCACCGTCTGAGCCAAGGTTAGATGTTGGAAAGGATCAGAGTCTATTAATGTTAACTAAGGTCTCAAGAGAAAGAGACAGCTTAGGAAAGATTGACTAGTATGCCAGCGAAAAATGAAAGGGAATAGAGAAAGTTCTGACACTTGGGCAGTGAGAGGAAGAACATGCTACTTCTAGACCCTAGGGAGTAAGAGATGGAGTTGCGAAAGGCTTTAAGTAAGGATGTCCTGGAAAACTTTGTCTATTGAGAAAAGTGACTAGTTCTGTGGCAGAGATCAGATTGAGCGTGTGGGTTCTTGATCTCACCTGTACAGCTTTTGAGTTATTGGTCTGAGGTCCAGGAAACCTAGACAGTCAGTTTTTCAAAGTTCCCCAAGTGATTCTGTTGTGCAGCCAAAGTTAGGACCTGTTTCATATGGCCTCCAGGTGGCTTCTGTCAGTTGAAACCAAGAGGCGTGGAGGCAAAGAAATCAATCAGGCTTGAGAATTGTGTCCAGGAAAGAACTCTGTGGTTATTGGCACATGGAACTAATGGGAAACAAGTAGATCAAAGGCCTATTAAGCGACTGAGGGAATTATATTAGCACTGAATCCATGTGCCTGGACTGACTTGATTTGACTTTTGAACTGTACAACAGCTGTGAGAAAACCCAGAACTTTCTGTGGCAGGTGCATTGGTGTGTTGAGGAGGTCATATCACCCCAAAGGAGGGTATGCCAGAGTCCACTGGACCAAGGAAGATCCTGGGTGAGGGAGAAACTCCTGTTCTACCATCGTGTATAGAGAGTGAGAAAAGAAGTGCAAGTCGCTTACCCTTGCAGTTCATGGGTTACATGTAAGGTATTGGCATGCCATCCTGATGAAGAGACTGCTGTGTCCAGATAGTCTGGATACACCAAGTGAATGACCACAGGTATTCTTTTGGAGCATGTATGGTGTGGTGGGAAGTGTTGAATGTGCTTTAAGCATAAAAAAGGGAGCAAAAAGATACTTGGTAATTGAAGTGCTCACTAAGATCCATATTTCCTTTTCTTTCTGGATATATGCCAGATTATATAATCTATCTTTCTTACAGCCAGATAGGGACCATGTGACTGGGTCTCACCAGAGGAATTTATTTGGAAGTGACATACATATTTCTTCTCAGCCAAGCAGCTGCACCTTCTCCATCCTCTCTGTCTTTATCCTCCTGCTGCTGATATCTGTTGGCCCAATGGAAAGGCCTCCAAAGAACTAGTTGAGACAGGAACCCTTAATGAAATGAGGCTGGATACCTAACGAATGGAGTGGTATTCCTCTGCCAATCTACTTCAGACTCTGATGTGAACAAGAAATGGGGAAGAAAAATCAGGAGTACATAGTGAGGAGATTATAAATTCAGTACAGAAGTCATATAGGCCTTGTTGGGAAAGTGATGCTTGAGCAAAGATGTAGATGTCTGCCAGGAGACTTTGGGAAAGAACAGGAGTGTTCAGCATCAGGGTCTGGGCCAGGTAAAGAATCCATTAAGGGGCTGAGGATGTGGCTCAGTGGTAGAGCGCTCTCCTAGCATGTGCAAGGTGCTGGGTTCGATCCTCAGCATCACATTAAAAAAATAAAATAAAATAAAAAAATAAAAATAAAGGTATTGTGTCCAATTGCAACTAAAAAAAATTAAAAAAAAAAAAAGGAATCCAATAATGCCTGAGTGGACTAGACAGGGGAGGATTGTGGGAGAGGAGGTCAGAATGTTAAGAAGGCCTTGTTGGCCATTGTAAAGAGACTTCTGCTCAAAAAATGTGGAGTCTTCATAACATTTTGAGTAAAAGAGTAACACGATTTGACTTATATTTTAAAATTATCAATTTGATGCCACATAAAAAGTAAACAGCAGGGCTGGGATTGTGGCTCAGTGGCAGAGCGGTTGCCTAGCATGCATGGGGCACTAAGTTTGAGCTTCAGCACCACATAAATAAATATAAAAAAGGTTCATCTACAACTAAAAATTTTAAAAAATGAGTAAACAGAAGGAGAAGAGACATCATTTAGGAGAAATGACTATTGCAATTAAAACACCATAGGGTAGAGGCAATAGAGGTTGTAAAAAGGGTTGACTTAGGATGTGTTTTATAAATCAGCATAATGAGTAGGATATGGCTGGAGTATATGAGAGGAGTCAAGGGAGACACTTAAGATTTAAACAGCTAGAAGTGTGGAATTGCCATTGGCTGAGATGGGAAGGGCTGTGGATAGAGTGCGCTTAGTTCTTAAGATCAAGAGTTCAGTTTTGACCATGTTGAATTTAAGTTGCTAGTAGATGTCTGTAGGGAGTTGTTGAGTAGGCGATTTTGTATGAGTCTAGAGTTCAAGAGAAAAGTCTGAGATAGAAATATAAATTTGGGGGTCATTGGCATATATTTAAAGTCAGGAGACTGGATGATAAGTGAATGAGTGAAGAAAAAAAGAGGAGAGGACTAAGAGCTAAGTTCTCCACCATGATGAGATCTGAAAGAGAACCTGGGGCCCAGGGATAGGGGGTGAAGACCAGGAAAGTATAGAGTTTGGAAAACATGTAAAGGAAGTGTTTTGAGGAGAAAGCCATTAGCTGTGTCACATGCTGTGATAGTAACTAGGAAGACAGAACTGGCACTTTGTTCAACATTGTGGGGATTGTTGCCTTCAGAACAGCTTTCACGGACCAGTCAAGACAAAAACCTGACTAAAGTGGGTTAAAGAAGGAAAGGAGATGAAGACAGCAAGTCCAGAGGGTTTGTCCAGCGAACGTCTATTTCTAACACCATTTCTAATAGCAGTTCTTCTTGGGTTTTGGAGGAGCCTCTAATCCCATATCACTTTTCCCCACCCAAGACTGCAGCCAGGAATTAGGCAGATGACAGGTTATGGGTTCTCTTGCTGCATCATAAGCCACCTGAAATTAGTGACATAATATACCAACTTTTGATTACACCCATGGATATGTATCAGAAATTTGGACAGGATAGAGGGGTTGGTGTGACTGTTCATGCTGTCTGGGGCCTCGGCTGGGATCACTAAAACATGGGGTGGGTGGGGTGGGAGTGACTCGAGGGACCAGAGGTTTCTTCACTGCCATGTCCACTGCCTGCCTGCCATGGTATGGTGAGAAGGCCAAGCTCAACTAGAGGGGTGGCCTGGAGCCGACCATGTGTGGCCTCTTCACCTGGTGTGTGCTTCTCACAGCCTGGTGGCTGTGTTTTAGGGGAGAGTGTCATAGCAGAGGCCTCTAGAGAGCAAGTGATGCCAGAGCCCTGGGCAGAGCTGCCAAGCCTTTCTTGCCTCCCCAGAAGGTGTTTAGTGCCATTCCCGCTGTGCCCTCTGGTTTCCAGGGGTGTCAAGGGCCAGCCCAAAGCAGGGGAGGAGGCCTGGACCCCATCCCATGAGGCAGTCATATTGTAGGGGCGCCTTTGTGGTGCCAGAAACTGCTGGAGTTACTTCTTACCACAGTGTGTTTGGGAAACACAGCCTGCGACACACAGGAAGAGAGACCCTGTCATCTGAGCCCGGGGTTCCCATGTCAATGGTTAATTTAGCCACAGAGGTTTTCATTTTTTATACTAATCATACTTTTAAAAAAGACCTTTATTAAAACAACTAATCCTCTAGGATTTTTATTTCTTTAAGTGATTTTGATTTGGGGAAAGATTTTTCAAGTAAAATATTTTGGATACAGTTTTGTTTTTGTTTTAAATTGCTGTTAATTGATCTTTAACTCTACTCTTCATTTTCCTTGGTCTGGAAATACTTTGCTGATTCCTTTTCAACCAGTCTTTCTTTCTTCCCTCACCTTCCTCTCTTCTCGCTCATTCTCACTGGTTCTTCCTTTGTTTTCATTGTGGTGAAATATACATAACACAACATTTACCCTTTAACCTTTTGTGGGTGTACAGTTGAGTCACATTAAGCCCTCGCACAGTCATTGCCATTGTCCATCTGCGGAACTTTTTCCTCTTCCCAAACTGACATAATTCTTCTTGTTTTTAAATCTTACAGGTTTTTGTTTTTAATATTTATTTTTTAGTTGTAGTTGGACACAATACCTTTATTTTATTTTTACGTGGTGCTGAGGTTTGAACCCAGGGCCTCACAGGTGCTAGGCGAGCGCTCAGCCCCCCCCAAACTGAAATTCTTAAGGAGGGCCTGAGACACAGCCTGCTACTCATTCCCTGACCCTGTCTCCATCAGACCTCTCTACCAAGATAAGTCTGATTCCGGTTAGCTGTTCCCTTTAGGAAGTGTGTATGTGTGCCTGTTTATTTATAAAAACACACTTGTAATACAGGTAGTCTGTTAGCATAGTGCCTTAGTGGAGGTAGTTATACAATTGACTGGTTGATGATAGAAAAATTTCACCTTTCCTCCCAGCAGATGGCAGACTCCACCTCTGAACCATGGTACTTATCCCATTCTTCAGAATCCACTGTAAATGAGGAAGCGCTCTGTTAAACAAATATTAATGCTTAATTTTTAAAATAAATGTTAACGAGCATATCATTTATGTCCAGTGTAGTTTTGGGGGGAGTTGGTGATGACATAATTTAAATCATTTAATGAGTGAGAGTGCAAAATCATGTTGTTACCGGCCTGGTATAGCTAAGATTGTTGACTTCTCTTTTTAGAGGGGATGTTTAACTTTCTTGTAACTAGCATCTGTCTCCTCGCATCTCTCAAATTATAAAAGATAATATATATTCAGTAAGAAAAAGGTGTGCTGTCACTGCACTTCTGTCCAGTTTAAATTGTCAAGTGTCACAATTAAATAACTACTTTGAACATAGCACAAAACTGGGAAGGAGGATTCTTTTTTTTTAAAGATAAGACAGTGTCTCCACTTGTAGCAAGCAGGAGGTAGGACAGAAAGAGCACGCACGCGCACACACACACCCCCATACCCCACCACACACACACACACAAATTAAACCCAAACTCTGTGAAGTCGGTCCTTTTTTTTTTAAGTGATTGATGGCACTCTGGTCCTTTTGCCCGCTACTCATCTCTCCTCACAGAAACTGCTAAGGTTGGGTTCCTGTTCTGCCTCATCAGGCCATGTTGGGGCAGCTGCCTGGCTTCTCTGTCCTGTGGGCACCAATGTTCCCAGTTCCAAGCTTGGTCTGAGCTTCCTCCAGTCATCCTCCTCATCTCAAGCTCCTTGGGATGAGCTGAACTTTGGCCCCCTCTAAGAGCTCCTCTCCTCTGCCCCCTTGCAGGTGTGGCTGTTAATGCTCTCCTGCCTACTTGCATATTGAGGGGTTGGGATGTGAAATCGATAAGAGAACCAGGTAACTTACCATGTGAACTGGACCCTGTTGAGAGTGGAAAGGAGTACTGCTGATTATGGAGGGACCACATGCATCGACCAGGATTATCTGCGGTTAGCTGGGACTGGGCTCACTGCTTGAATGTTCTATTGCTGCATAACAAGTTCCTACAGATTTAGTGGCTTAAAACAAAGAAAATTTACCATCTTGATTTCAGTAGGTCAGAATGCCAGGTGTGGCATGACCGAATTCTCCCTCTGTACCAGGTCTCACTGAGCTGCAATCAGGGTGCCCCTGAGGCTGTGGTTTACTGTCTGGGGCTTGCAGATCTTCTAGCTGGCTCCACTGATTGTTGAGGGAATTACTTTCCCTGCAGCTGTGGTGCTGAGAGATTGACTCTCAGCTCTCAGAGGCCTCCCCTGCCATGTGGCTTCCATAGGCAGTTTATAGTATGAACATTCACTTTCTTCCAGTCTGGAGAGCGTCTTTCAGATTTCCTCTTCTGCAGCCCATCAGCGAAATGCTCTTTTTTTTTTTAAAGAGAGAGAGAGAATTTTTTAATACTTATTTTTCAGTTTTCGGTGGACACAACATCTTTATTTTTCTTTTATGTGGTACTGAGGATCGAACCCAGCGCCCTGCGCATGCCAGGCGAGCGTGTTACCGCTTGAGCCCCAGCCCCCAGCAAAATGCCTGGCCAGACCAGGTCCACCCAGTGTGGTCTCCTTTTCGCCTTATGTAATGTAACATACTCAGAGGGCTTTGAATAGCTTATCATGTTTACAAGCTCCACCCACACTCAGAGGGGAAGCCATTATACAAGGATGAGAGTTACTGAGGGTTAATTTAGAAATCTGCCTACGCTAGTCACCCTGGTTATTTTACTTCTTGTTTTCCAACTTGCTACTTCTACAATTTTATATCGTGAATCTCTTGGTTAAAATAAAAGTTAAAAAGAAAAAGCAAGCAAGATACTTAACTCTAAGGCTTATGTCATTAATTCTGTTACCCTCCTTTCCTAATTGCAGCTATCTCCTAACTTCCTGGTCATGACTATTCTCTCCATGGGTCAGATGGTTTGGTACTAGACTTATTGGTCATCTCATGGGTGATTTCAGGGTCTGCAGTCTTAACACTGTGGCCATGCAATTTCTTGACTTCCTCAGTTCTGATGATCTCCTTCATTGAACCTCACACCTTTGTTCCCACTTACACCCTGGACATTTTCACCACCTCTGACTGCTCGGTTACCACACTGTGATTTAGACATCTTGTTTTCTATTGACATCCTGTTATCATTTGATCTGATTCGTTCAACTTCTTTCACTTTATCTTTTAATCTTCTTCCAATTTTGAACCCATTAGCTGCTTTCTCTCTGTCCAGCATCCTTTTTTTCCCCCTCTTCTTTTTCTTTTTTGTGGTACTGGGAGATTGAACCCAGGGGTGCTCTACCACTGAGATACATCCCCACCCTTTTATTTATTTATTTTTTATTTTCAGACAGAGTCTTGGTAAGTTGCTGAGGCTTTCCTCAAACTTGTGATCCTCCTGATTCAACCTCCCAAGTTGCTAGGATTACAGGTGTATGCTGATACTTCTCTCCTTATCCATTTTAGATATGACCATTTGTTCTTATACAGCCAGTTTTTTTTTTTAATCAAACAAATTCATAGATGAACTGGTCTGCTTTCTTTTAAGTATTTATGAAGAAAATGATTAATAGGGCAGATTAATGTTAACATACATTCATGATTACTTGCTTCAGTTAGCTTCAGCATTATGATCCTTTTGCAGTTCTCTTATAACCTTGCTTTCCCTTTTTTTGCAGTGATTAAGTAATCATTCTTTTAAGCATAACCATTCTTTTTAAGTATCTGCCTCTTCCTCTTTAAGCAGATGACTTCCTTTCTTATTACAGAGCAAACAGCCATTAGACAGGAGCTCCCTTGACTTTCTTCTTCCAGGGTTACTCATAGGTACATATGCTTATTTAATAAATTCTTACTAGGTACCTGCCGTGTGGCAGGCACTGTTCTAGATGTTGGGGTTACCTAGAATAAACTGGAACAAAGCCTGTCCTTCATAGAGCTCACATTGAAAAGAGAGTAGTTGGATTAAAAACATTTTTAAAAAAAGTTCTAAAAAAGTGAACTAAAAAGATATCAAGTGATGATAAGTTCTGTGGATAAAAGTAAAATGTAGTGATATGACAGAAAGATGACTAGCTACCAAAGATATAGTAATCAACAAATTGCTTTTACTGAATCAGGAAAATAGAAAATCTGAATAGATCTATAACTAGTAAAGAGATGGAGTTAGTAATCAAAAATCATCTCTAAAAAAAAAAAGGCCAGACCTATGTGGCTTTGTTGGTGAATTCTACTGAACAGTTAAATAATTAATATCAGTCCTTCACAAATTTCCCAAAATAGATGGAAACAGAACTTTCCAACTCATTCTATAAGGGCAGCTTTACCTAAACTGAAAAAAGGATACCTAAAGAAAACTACAGATTAATGTTTTTTATGAATTTAAGTGGTGACACCTTCAACAAAATATTAGCAAATTAAATTCATCCACATATAAAAAGTCTCATACAACATAACCAAGTAGGAATTGTCCCAGGAATGCAAGTTTTTTCAATAGGCAAAAAAATCAACATAATACACTATTCATAGAACAAAGGACAAAAAAACACATGATCATCTCAATAAATGTGGAAAAGGAGTTGGGAACAACTCAGTACCCTTTTGTGATTTAAAAAAAAAAAGGCAACAAACTAGGAATAGAAGGGAATTTCTCAGCCAGGCATGGTGGGTGGTATGTGACTATAATCCCAGTTACTCAGGATGCTAAGGCAGGAGGAACACAAGTTCAAGTCCAGCCTGGGCAACGTAATGAATACCTGTCTAGTTAGATGATTGATAGATGGACAGACAGGAAGGAAGGAACTTCCTCAACTTAACAAAGAATATCTATAAAAACCCCACAGTGAACATCATAATTAATGATGAGAGACTAAAAGCTCTCCCTCTAAGATAAAGATAAGACAATGTCTGCTCTCATCACTTTTTTCAACATTATGCAGGAGGTGCTAGCCAGGTGAAAATTGAGCAAGAAAAGGAAATAGAATGCATCCATGTTAGAAACAAAGAAATAAAACTTTCTCTGTTTGTGAATGACATGGTGTCTTATATAGAAAATCATAAGGGGGCTGGGATGTGGCTCAAGCGGTAGCACTCTCTCCTGGCATGCGTGCGGCCCCGGTTCGATCCTCAGCACCACATACAAACAAAGATGTTGTATCCACTAAAAACTAAAAAATAAATATTAAAAAAATTCTCTCTCTCTCTTAAAAAAAAGAAAATCATAAGGAACACACACAAAAAAAAACCTGTTAGAAATAAAGTTTAGAAAGATTGCAAGATATAAAATCAATGTACAAAAACCAATTGTTTCAGGTTGGGGCTGGGGTTCAGTGGCAGAGTGCTTGCCTGGCATGTGTGAGGCACTGGGTTTGATCCTTAGCACCACATAAAAATAAACAAATAAGGGCTGGGAGTGTGGCTCAGTGGTAGAGTGCTCGCCTTGCATGTGCAAGGTCCTGGGTTAGATCCTCAACACCACATAAAAATATAATAAATAAGATAAAGTGATTGTGTACAACTACAATAAATAAATAAATATATTTTTTAAAATAAACAAAATAAAGGCATTCTGTCCATCTACAACTACAAGAAAGAAAGAAAGAAAGAAAGAAAGAAGCAATTGTTTTTATACACTTGCAATGAATAATTTGGAAATGAAACTAAGAAGAAATTTTCATTTATTAGCAGCATCAAGAAGAACAAAATAGAAATAAAGTTAACCAAAGAAGTATTAGACACTGAAAACTACCAAAACTGCAAGAAATTAAAGAAGACCTAAGGAAATGGAAAGACATTCTGTGATCATGAGTTGGAAGTCTTAATACTGTTAAAATGTTAGTACTCCTTAAATTGACCTACAGATTCATTGTAATCCCTATGAAAATCTTAGCTGCTTTTTTTTTGTATGACCATGTGCACTGCTCTTAAAATTCATGTGGAAGGGGCTGGGTTGTAGCTCAGTGGTAGAGCACTTGCCTAGCAAGTGTGAGGCGCTGGGTTTGATCCTCAGCACCGAATGAATGAATGAATGAATGATATTGTGTCCATCTATAGCTGAAAAAAAAATTCATGTGGAAGCATAAGGGACCCTATATTGCTAAAACAAACTTGACAAAGAAGAACAAAGTTGGGGGACTCACTCTTCCAGATTTCAAAACTTACTCAGAAAAACAGTAATCAAAGCAGTGTGGTATTATCATGAAGATAGAAGTATAGAGTAATGGAGTAGAGGGGGAATCCAGAAACAAATTCTTACATTTATTGTCAATTGATTTTCTCTTTTCTTTTCAGACAGGGTCTTCCTAAGGTTGTCCTTGAACTTGTAATTTTCCTGCCTTAGCCTCCCAAGCCACTGGGATTACAGGTGTACACCACCATGCCAAGCTAAGAATAGTCTTCTTAACATATGGGGCTGAGACAACTGGATATTCGCAGGCAAAAGAATGAATTTGGACTTCTTCCATATACAACGTGAAACATGAACTCAAAATGGGTCACAGACCCCCAAGTATAAAAAAGCTCAAACTATATAACTCTTGGAAGAAAACAGTTGTAAGTCCTCAAGACCTTGGGTTGTACAGGGACATCTTAGATAGGACACCAAGAGCTCAAGCAACAGAAGGAAATGGACATTTTTGGACCTTATCAAAATTAAAAACTTTATAGCCAGACATGGTGGTGCATGCCTGTAATTCTAGCGAATAGGGGGCTGAGGCAGGAGGATCACAAGGTTAAGACCCGCCTCAACAATTTAGTGAGCTCCTATTGCAAAATTAAAAAAGGACTTGAGATTTGCTCAGTGGTAAAGCATCCCTGGGTTCAATCCTCAATACAAAAAAATAAACATAAAAGGGCCGGGATTGTAGCTCAGTGGTAGAGCACCTGCCTAGCCATGTGTGAGGCATTGGTTTGATTTTCAGCACTATATATAAATAAATAAAAAATAAAGCTCCATCATCAACTAAAAAAGTATTTAAAAAAACATAAAAATTTCAATGCTTCAAAGGATACCATTAAGGAAGTGAAAAAGAGCCAGGAGTGTAGCACACCTCTAATCCTAGGTCCTCAGAGCCTGAGGCAGGAGGATCAAAAGTTTGGGACTAGCTTGGGCAACTTAGTGAGGTAAATAAATTTGGAATATTGTGGTAACTCAGTGATAAAGCATTCCTGGGTTTATTCCCCAGTAACCACCCCCTCTAAGAAAAAAACACTGAATAGGTGAAAATATTTGTAAGTTATATTTGCATATTAAAGGGACTTTTATCCAAAATTATAAGGATCTCCTGAAACCCAGCAGCAACTATGAAAACCCCCAAATAACCCTATATGAAACTGGGCAAAGGGAAAGTAGCATGGCGATTATGAGATCACCACTGGCTATAGGGAGGAGGAGAGGGAGTTGTTGCTTAATGGGTACAGAGTTTCAGATTTGCAAGATGGAAAAGTTCCAGAGATCTGTTTCACAACAGTGTTAATACACCTAACACTCCCAAACTGTGTACTTAAAAATGGGTTCATTGATAAATTTCTTGTTATATGTTCTTTTACCCCAATTTTAAAAAGGCAGATAAACTCAGGGGAAATGATGGGCATAGGATCTGAATACACATTTCTCCAAAGAAGATATAAAATGACCAATTAGTCATTAGGGAAATGCAACTCAAAACCACATGAGATGATGCCATTTCACACAAGATGACTGAAATAATGAAGACTGACAATGACAAATGTTGGTAAGGATGTGGAGAGATTGGAGCCTCATACATTATTGCTGGTGTAAAATTGTGCAGCCACATTGGAAAATGGCTTAGCAAGCTCTAAGCATGTTAAGAGTGGGGTTACCATGTGATCCAGCAGTTTAATTTCTAAATACATACCCTTTAGAATTAAAAATATATGTCCACACACCAGCAGGAGCGTTTTGAAACTTGAGCATTAGTAGGAGATGGGTCATGTGAGAGGATGTACAAATCTTATGGGATGAGATCATTTTGTGGACCAAAGGCCTTCCTCTGAAATGTTTGGCTTTCTAGCATTGTCTGAGGGAATAGGCTAGAAGTCTCCTGACAACATTTATAGCTTGAAGTGTTTTAGATGTTGCCCCTTCAACCATCTGAACATTGCCCAATTCTCCTGTGGTATTTGGCTTTACTGTTTATTCTTAAACCCATTTATAGTTGCAAAAGTGCTGAGTTTGAAAACAGAATATTTGAAGTGGACCCAGCTGTTTCAAAAGATGGATGCTTATCAAAGAAAGAATTGGTGTGTTCTTTATGAAATAATAAGGCTTTTTTTTTTTTTTCATTTGTAGCCTGATTATTCTTAGAACAGAGAGATGACAGGGAGTTTTAGCCATTGCAGGGAAGTGTGGCTGAAATCCAACAGTTCTTCAAATGAGCAATTTCCTCTTGCTGTCAGCACTCACCCACAACCCTTTCTTCAATGTTAGATCTTTTTGTATTCTCACAGGTGGTCACCAGAGCTGAACTGGAGGGCCTATACCCTCCTTCCATGTGTGAGGAAGATCAGGGGGTCTTAATGCGACCCAGTCATTTGAATTGCTTTGTCTCTGCATTTTCTCAAATACATCAGTGATTCTTGCCTAGAGCTTTCTGAGTTCTGTAGATACAGATTTAGGGCAGAGTTCTTTCTCAATAAATTTAATAAATGTGTATTATATATTAATTACACTTTATCTCCATTTAGTGACTACAAAGTTTCCAATTATGAAACTTCACAGGTTACTTACCCGTGGGACCTTTCCATCACCTTTGGTCAACTGGCTGCTGTGCTCCCCTGTCTTCCCTTTCCTGAGCTGTCTTCTCTTGAAGCACATCCCTGCTGCACACACTTCCAGATTTTAGATGCCCCCACCCTGCCCCAGGCACTGACAAGTGTCTCCAGTTCTTAATTCCAGTCCGTGCTTGGTGCTTGTCTCGTTCACTGACTTGCTGGACTCTTCCATCCTGAAATCTCGCTCGCTTTCTAACAACAGAGTTCCAGGAATTTTCCAGTTCATTTCCTTGGACTTCTCAGTAGATAAGTGTGTCACTTCTAGGAAACAAGAACTGAATCACTCTCTGATAGTTTTATCTAGTTTTTACTTCTTTATATTGACAAGAACTTTAAAGCAATGCTTCCGACAGTTCTTGAAAAGAATCTTCCCCAGACTGCATGTGAAATATGTAGAGCACCAGGCCCACTCCTGGGGATCTTAACCTGGTAGGCTCAGGTTGAGGCAGAGAAGTCTGTTTTGTTTTGTTTTTAAACAAGTGTCCAAAAATTTCTTATATTCAGACTGTACTGGGAGACTCTGTCAGAGGAGTCTGTTCTGTTGCTGACTTTGGTGTACCATGTTGATGTCACTAGACTGCTAACTCAATCCCTTTCTTGAGCTTTTCTTGTGGCAGTATTTGTGACAGCTTTGGAGAGACTGTGTGCCCAGGTGTGGTCATACAGTGGACAGCCTGACCCAGACAAGTTTTCTTTACTGTTATCTGTTCAGTAAACTGGAGCCTGGGTTCTGCAGCCCTGGAGCGGGTATTCATATGCAGATGCACCTGGGCACCCTCAACTCTCCAGGCCTCCCACCAGCCTTGCTTTCTTGAGACAGTGCCTGCCTGTGGCCACTTCCATGGTTCTTGTGTACTCTGCTCCCTTTTGTTTTAACTGGCTGTACCTTTGCCAGACCTGCAGTACTGGTCACGCTGCTGCCTGGTTCTCTCCTGCCATGTAATCTGTGAGTGCATCTGTGAGTGCCAGAACACTGTCCACTCAGCATATGCTAGAAGCACCTTCCAGAACAGAGATGGCTAATAGCACACTGAAGTTTTACCTCGCAGAGGAATGTTTTGAAAGCTTTTATAGTCATGTATTTGGTCTGGAACTTTTCTTTATGTCTTCCACTCACAGGCAACACTAAACATTATGAGACTATTTGTAGTTACCTGACATATTGTATTTTCTACTTTTATGTTTTTGAATCTGCTATTCTAGCTGCCTCTATCTCCTCTGTTTCCTGTCATGTATATACCATTAGATCATTAGTCCTTTGTATGCCTTTAGCCTTAATATATTACTTATTTGATGTGCACAATTTTTATTAAAGAACTTTAATGAAAGTTGCCATTTATCATTTGTTCAGTTTTAAATTACGTGTGATCATGAAAATATTCATTTTATGTCCACCCCACTTGCAAAAAATGTAAGTGATTGATAATATTCAGTTTTGGCAAGGGTATAGAGAAGAAGACTCCCCCCGCCCATACATTTTTTAATTGGTACATTACAGTTGTACATAATGATGGGATGTGTTGTTACATATTTGTTCATCCACACAATTCACGGTATAACAATATAATTTGGCCAGTATCCCTCCCTAGCACTTTCCCCCTCCTTCCCCACCCCTTGGTCCCTTTTCTCTTCTGATCTCCCTTTGATTTTTTAGGAGATCTGCTTTACCTTTGTTTTCCTTTTTCCTCTCTAGCTTCCACATATGAGAGAAAATATACTACCCTTAACCTTCTGAGTTGGACTTATTTCACCTAACATAATGGTCCTAATTTCATCTATTTTCCTGCAAATGACACAATTTCATTTTTCTTTAGGGTTGGATAAAAATCTATTGTGTAACATATTTATATTGCATTTTCTTTATCCTTTCATCAGTTGATGGACACCTAGGCTGGTTCTATAATTTGGCTATTTCTTTCCCCCAAATGTTTAAGTTGTTCTTTTCTGAACTAGCAAGTAATAAGTAATATCTTACAATTAAATATTTTAAGCATAGAGAAGGTCATATTGGATTTAACAGATTGTCATCACAGAGTTACATCCCCAGTCTTTTTTTTTAAATATTTTTTTTTAGTTGTAGATGGACATAATATCTTTATTTTATTTATTTATTGTTTTCAATGTGGTAGTGAGGCTTGAACCCAGTGCCTCACGCATTCGAGGCAAGTGCTCAATCACTGAGCTACAAACCCAACCCCCAAGTCTTTTTTTTTTTTTAAATACAGTATCTCACTAGATGTTGAGGCTGGCCTCAAACTTGTGATCCTCTGGCCTCAGCCTCCCATGTTTCTGGGATTACAGGCATGTGCAACCACACCTGGCTATATATTTTTTAAAGGAATAAAACAGAAAAAGTTGAATTCCATATATATCCTGCAAACCCACTTCCCTCTCCTTTCAGAGATAAACCTCTTTTTTTAAAAAGGCTTTCTTTTTTTTATAATAACTTTATTTTATTTATTTACTTTTTTATGTGGTCCTGAGGATTGAACTCAGTGCCTCACATATGCTAGGCAAGCATTCTACCACTGAGCCACAACCCCAGCCCTAAACCTGTGTTTTGAATTTGGTGAATTTCGTTCATATTTTTGTACTTTTTATTTATTATGTGTATGTGACCATTAGCAGTCTACAATGCTGTGTCTCACATTTTTAAACCTCATTAGAATAGCGTCATAGTGCATGTGTCCTATTATAACTTCTCTGCTTTTACCTACTTTGTTTTAGAATGATCGCCCATGTTGGTATAGTTATTTTAAATGCCATATGGAATTTATTTCTATGAATGTCCTAAAGGTTATTTATTCTCCTGGTGATATACACTCAGCGTGGGTTTAGTTTTCTGTTTTTCCAAGTATAGCTTCGGTAGATTTTTGGAGACAGGTCTTTTTGTGCAGAATGGAGAGTTTTCCTAGGGCATGGTTTTAGGAATGGGATCCCTGGGACAACAGGAATGTGTGTTTTTAATTTTCCTAGGTGTTGCTAAAATGCTCTTCAAGGTTACTTTATTACTTCACACTCCCTCCTTGTAGGAAATTTATTATTTGTTCACTTCTCACTTGTAAGTAATATGTTACTTTTAATTCTCATATAAAGCAATAAGTCTCTAAACAAATTGCTTGAAGAAAATGAGAAAATGAACTGTTTTATTTCCCTATTGTACATGCTGTGAAGATTGCCACCCCACCCTCTTGACTGAATGCTTCCAATGTAGGCCAGATTGATGTGACAACTCAATTAGGAGCAAAGTTTGGCCTCAAACTTTTTTTTTTTTTTTAACCTGTATGTGTTCACAACTCTTTCAGTCTAAATTACCAGCCTGTAATGTACCAATTGTTCCTACTTCAGGGGTGTCCCTTGTCCCCAGGGTTGGTGTGTGTAGAATCATAAATGTTATTTTGGCTCTCGTGGCATAGGAATGTCTGTTGAGGCTGAATTCCAACAAATCTTTTCTTCTTCTTTTTCCTGAGAGGGAAACTGAAGCTGTTTGCTATTCAGTACAAGATATCACTCCTCTCTTTATTATAGCGCCTGCTTTGGCTGTGGTTGAACCAGTTGGAATAGTAGTGGCTTCTTTTTTGTGTGCATTAAGGGGTTTTGTAATTTATAGGCGTGTTTCAGAAGCCATGTGTGAACCAATTACATTTTATTGTTCCTAGTTATACTTTTATGTCAGAGAGCTAATACTTTTTAATTTTGGAAGATTAACAAATTACATGAATTATTTTTACTCATATATCAATCAATCAAAAATAGCTTCACCAGTTAAGTTAACCAAGAGTTTATCAATTCTCTAATTTTTCACTTATTAAAGCAGTTATTCTGAAGTGTTTTTAAAATAATATATCCCAAGAGATATTACAAATTTTTCAAAATAAATTTTTGTTAGCTCTAATTTAAAAAAGATAGTAATTCCATTTCCGGGTGGTGGGATGAGGACACGCTGTCTAGCCTTTTCATCATGTCATAGATACTTAGAAATAATAGATTAGAATTTTAAAAATAATCTGGCACTGGGGATATCGCTCAGTTGGTAGTGTGCTTGCAAAAAAAAGAAAGAAATTTTAAAATTATCTGAAAATATACTCAAGGGAGTGAAAAAGAAAGGGAAGGCCTTATTAAGCTGCAGACTGTGAAGAATCTCTGAAAAGCATATGATATTTGTATGAGAAGAAGACCTAGATCCAAAGCAAGGCAGGAGAGCAGTGCTGCTGAAGATGGGTCTGGTGGCCTTCCAGGGGCAGAGGGTATCAGGCAGGTATGATGAATGGAGGAGTTTGTGCTGAAGAGACAGGGCAGAGTTCCCTTGCTGAGACTACAGAGCTCTTCCATGCGGTGGCACTTTCTGTCTTCCCTCCACCTCACTAAGAACAGCTCCCACACCTCCCCTCCAAGGAGGCATTGCAAACTGAGAGGGTGGAAGGCCTGAGCAGGAAGTCCTGACTGCAGAGATAAGCTCTTAGTTAAAAATCACCCTGAAGCTGGGATCGGTGGTGCACGCCTGTAACCCAGCAACTCAGGAGGATCATGAGTTCAAAGTGAGGTGCTAAGCAACTCAGTAAGACTCTGTCTCTAAATGAAATACAAAACAGGGCTGGGATGTGGCTGGTGATTGAGTGCCCCTGAGTCCAATCCCCGGCACCCCCCCCAAAAAATTTAAAAATCACCTTGAATAGAGAAACACAATGATGCAGAGACGGTAGCAAAAGAATTTGTCTTAGAAATAGAATTCATAGAATATGAGGAACTGGATTTTACAGTAAATCTAGTTCAGTCCTTGGAAAGATAAGAACATTTTTTTCCCTACTAAAAACAATTAATTATCAATCCTGGAAATGAAAAATTGATGGTCAAAATAAGAAGTTTAACCTTGGGGCTGGATTAACAGTGTTTATAGCTGAAGAGCATTGTTCCTAAGCACATCACATAAGGATAAAGTAAAATAGAAATGATATTAAGGCATGAAAGAAAGACTGAGGAGTTCCATCTAATAAGAGAGAAAACACCAACTTAGATTAATAAATCTCCTTTCAAGATTGAAAAGAAGAAAAGGAATGTTCCAGACCTAAATGTATCAGATATCTTCCAATGAAGGAGACACTGCAGAAGTAGCTGCCTGTACTACCTCTGGGACCCTGGAGCTACGCTGCCAGCTCTTTTAGAACAAATTCATCAGGGACCGCTGTTGACCAGGGCTGCAAGCTTGGCCAGGACCATGAAAATGTGGGGGAAGCAGCCTAGCACCACCATGTGTAGTATGAACTTACAAAACACGAACTGTAGAGCAAGCAAAAGGAAACTTTAAGGGAAAGTTTAATGGCCTCCAAGGAGTAGAAAGAGACTTTCATGCTTAATACTAGAACTAGAAGGTACAAAAACAGGTAGTAGTGAAAATAAAAAATACAGTTGTTGAGATAAACTCATTGGATTTGCTGCAGAGCAAACTAGATGCAGTTGAGAAACAAGTGAGAATGAAGTAAAAGATCAAGGTGAGAGGGGCTGGGGCTGTGGTTCAGTGGTAGAGCACTTGCCTGGTACGTGTGAGACACTGGGTTCGATCCTCAGCACCATATTAAAATAAATAAATAAGATGAAGGTATTGTGTTCATCTACAACCCCCCAAAAATATTTTAATAAGCAACAAAAAAAGATCAAGACGAGAAGTTCTCCCAAAACTCAGCATCAAGAGCCAAGAAATAGAGTATGAGAGAAAAGTTAGGCATTTAGGATGCACAGAAGTTCCAGTGTTTAATAGGAGTTATAAGTGAAGAAAATTGACAAGAGACAATGTTTGAAAAAATAACATTCTAAGTTTTTCCGGAACTGAAAAACTCTGAGCCTTCAGACAGAGTATGCATCATAGTGATAGTAGTAAAGAGGAATTCCTACAAAACACTAGAGAGAAAGGCTGGTGATCTTCAAAAGAATGAAAATTCAATTGACAGTTACTGATTTTAAAAACAAACAAACAATATGCAATATCTTCTAGGTGCTGAGAGAAAATCAAGTTCTATTCCACTCTGTCTTTTAACAGCAAGTATGCCATAGTAGCCTTTTCAGATCTCAGTGACCTTTAAAGTTCTTTACTGCAAACTATTTAAGGATGTACTGCAATAAGGAAAAAATTAGCCCAGAAGGTAGTAAGGGGATACAAAGAAAAAGGGAGAGGCAGAGAAATCAGGAAAGCAACATCATTTCATCTAAGTAAATATTGTCTGTAAAATGTAAACTGATTTTAAATTAGTTGTAATTTAAATCAACATAGCTAGCAACATGGAATTTGTGGCTAGGTAGAACACAAAGGGGATGAAGTTTTCCAGCAAACCTGGTTAAGTACCAGGACATGTCAGGTTTGAGCTTGGCACTGTGGATATAGAAATACATTTCAGTTTCCGTCCTTTTTTTTTTTTTTTTTTTAATATTTTCTAGTTGTTGATGGACCTTTATTTTATTTGCTTATTTATATGTGGTGCTAGGAATTGAACCCAGTCCTTCACACAGATGAGGCAAGTGCTCTAAGGCTAAGCTACAACTCCAGCTCCTCAGTTTCCGTTCTTAATGTAAAGATAATGTAGGAAGTCAGGGATGGCTCAGGGTGGGGAAAGGAAAGTAGTCATATGAAAAAATAAATAAACAAAAATATATTTTAAATAAAAGGAATGAAAATGGTGGAATGAGATGGACATCATTACTCTAAGTACATGTATGAAGACACAAAGGTGTGACTCTATTTTGTGTACAACCAGAGATATGAAAAGTTGTGCTCTATATGTGTAATATGAATTGTAATGCATTCTGCTGTCATGTAACAAATTAAAAATTTTAAAAGAGAGAATGAAAACATACTCAAACTATCAGGAAAGGAATATAAAATATATCTTGTAAAAATATGATTTTAAGTATGCATTCAAAATTTAAGGTTAACAATAGTCCAATAGGAAGAAATAAAATAGAAAACTTAAAACTATTAGAAGAAAAACATTTTTAAAAAATGACAAAACCCCATATATATGCTGCTTTAGAGAAGGACAAAAACAATTGATAAATTTTATTACAAATATTATAAATGTTCTAAAATATTAATATGAAGTGACAATTCAAGGCAGTCAGCATTAGAAGGATAAGGGGAAGAGTTCCAAATGATAAAAAAAAGAATTTACCAAGAATCAGTGCAAGTCTGTTTGTTCTCAACAATATTGGATATTTGTGTATATATGTATGTATGTGTGTGTCTATAATTATTAGAGGCTTCCTAAATGATGGTCCTAATTATTCCCTCATTTCTTCAGTCTTTTTTAAATAATGCAGCCAACTGGGCCCTGTGACGTACACCTGTATTTTCCTGGTAACTTGGGAGGCCAAGGCAGGAGAGCATCACATTGCAGCTCAGCCTGAACAACTTAGTGACACTGTCTCAAAATAAAAAATAAAAGGGGTGGGGATGTAGCTTAGTGGTAGAGGGCCCTTGGGTTCAATTCACAGTACCACAATAAGTAAGTAAATAAATAAATCGTGCAATCAGATGATTCTCTTAAGCACATCAGACCCTAGACTGCTCAGTACACTGCAAGGGCTGCCCATCTTCAGGATAAAAACCACAATCCTTACAGTGGCCTAAAGGGCCCTGCTTCTCCGCCTTCCCCGTTCCCTTACCTCTCACCTCATCTCCTGCTTTCTCCCCCTCACTCCACATCAAGCATGCTGCACTTCTTGCTGGTCCTTCAGCACATCAGGCAGGCTTGCATTTTTAGAGCTGCACTTGCTCTTCATTCTGCCTGGAAAGCTCATTCCCCAGATGTGTACATGCCTCACTGCCTCACCTCCTTCCGGCCTTTACTCTGAAGGAAGCTGCCCTGACCACAGTGCAGTAAAATTAGATGTCATCAACAGAAAGAAAAAAATAACCTTAACACACATTTAGAATTAAGAAACCACAACAACTTCTAACTTTATGGAATAAGGAAAATTCATAATCAGATTTAACAAATTAACTGGAAAACTATATAACATGTCTAAACCTATGCTTACATTTCACATGATATTCAAAAGAAAAATGGTAACTATATGTAGTCTAGAGAAAAAAGATTAAAAAGAAATGAAACTAGATTTTTAACTCTCTAAACTGAAAAGAACTACTGATAAATCTGAAGGAGAAGGGAATAATAAAATTACCCCTTATTGAAATAGAAATAAGAAATTAATTCAATAAAAAAATCGTTGTTTGAAAAAATGGTGAAATAGATCTATTAACGAGTAGTTTTTAAAAAGTAACAAAAATAATGTCATAAATGGGGCTAGGGTTGTAGCTCAGTGGTACAGTGCTTGACTAGCATGTGTGAGGCACTGGGTTCAATTCTCAGCACCAAATATCAGTTTAAAAAATAATAATAAATGTACATTGACAACTAAAAAATATTTTTGAAAATGTCATAAATGAAAATAGGAATTTGTATACAGAGCAATCTTGCTTTTTTGGTGATTATTAGAGAGTCAATGACTTTATGCTAATGAACTGGAAGATTTAAGTGAAATGGACTATTTTCCAGGAAAATAGATATTACCAAATTTGGTTCAAGAAGAATAAAAAGAATCTTAATGATACACAAGTAGGTTAAAAATATTGTAATGAGAATCACAGGTCTGCACTCCAAAGGAAGCTCAGACTGTTTATTAGGTGGAATTCTCTCAGACCTTCAAGGGGAACAGATAATTTTCATTTTATGTATACCTCTCCAGAACACTAGAACGCCTCAACCAATTTTACTAAGCTAGTATAACTTCCATCTCCAAACAGGCAAGTAAAGCACCAAAAAATAAAACTGTAAGCTATTCTCACTTAAGAATATAGATGCAAAAATTCTACATTTAAAAATGGAGAATTAACTTAAGCGTGATCAATTAGCACTTACTCTGGATATGCAAGAATAGTTCAAGTTGCTTTTAAGATAATTGAATAGAAGTTCTATTCATTGCAGCAACCTAACTGCTAACTTCAGCAACTTGTTAAACTGAGGCATTTATATCTTCTTTCCCCAGTAACAGAGACATGCGTGCCAGATTAAATACAAGATTGAATTGCAGAGTTGAGCATGAATACAAGTCAGAGAAATCCCTGGCAATCAGAATTAAACCCCAGACTGGTGTTCTAGGGGTCAGTCAGACTGGATAGTAGATTTAGGTTCCCAAGATTGAGGGTTATTGTCTCATGACACAGGAAATCTGTCTTTGGTTTACTCAACATAAGTAGAACTAATGATATTATAAAGGCTAGGACTTTAAAAGAGCTGTCTCCTTAAGAAAGAGGGACTAGAGGGAAAAACCCACTGGCTTAGAGAAGGTACAAAGAAATATGTAACTGCCAGGCTCTGAGAGAAAAAAACAAAGTCAACTTTGAAAAACTGAAGCCATGATGTTTACTAACCAGAAGTATTCAATCCAGATTTCTACCAGTGAAATTGCATGGAAATTCCCAAACCAAAAAACATTCAAGGGAAGAGAAGCCTCAGCTGTGTTGTCCAATATGGTAGCCATTAGCCACATGTGGGTGTTTAATTTTAAAATTAAATGAAATTTAAAATGAAGTTCCTGAGTCACAGAAGCAACACTGCCAGTGCTCAATAATTATGTGTCTAGTGGCTACCATACTGGCCAATGCAGAAACAGTTCAGTAAAGTTCTATTGGATACCAGTGCTCTATGTACCTACTAGAAGCAGACAAAAATCCCTCTACAGCAATCCAATTTCTATGCTCTGGTCAAATGGGGCTCCTATGCAGAAAACAATAACTCCTGAAGGTGAGCTCATTATAAAAACTTGCAAACCCAGTCACTAAACATTCTAAGGGAAAGTCAGCAAACATACAAAAAAGTATGTTTAGCATTCCAAGAACTCTGAAAAAATGGTCCATTAAAAAAAAGTTAAAGTAAAGTTAAGTATAGTTAGGAATTAAAGCTGATATGGAAAAAGACCAATTTGAGCTTCTGGAAATAAAAAAAAAAAAGATTAAGCTCACTAAAGGGGTTAAATAGCCAATTAGAGATAATAAAAATTATGGAATGGGAAATAGATCTGAAGAAATTAGTCAGGATACAGAATACTGTGAACATATGTAAGGAGATAGAAGATATGAAAGGCAGTTAAAGGATTCAAAGAATAGAATGGGAAGATCAGCCTAGAATTCTATATCTAATCTATTCAAGAGCAAAAAACAAAGATATTTTCAGAAGAAATCTCAACAAGTTTGTCACCAAAAAAAACATTGCTGGAGAAACAAATTAAAGATACTTAGAGGAGCACTAAAAAATGACAAAATCATGGAATTTGCAGGGAAATGGATGGCACTAAAGCAGATTATGCTAAGTGAAGCTAGCCAATCCCTAAAAAACAAATGCCAAATGTCATCTTTGATATAAGGAGAGCAACTAAGAACAGAATAGGGAGGAAGAGCGTGAGAAGAAGATCACCATTAAACAGGGACGAGAGGGGGGAGGGAAAGGGAGAGAGAAGGGAAATTGCATGGTAAAGGAAGGAGACCCTCATTGTTATACAAAATTACATATAAGAGGAAGTGAGGGGAAAGGGGGAAAAAACGAGAGAGAAATGAATTACAGTAGATGGGGTAGAGAGAGAAGATGGGAGGAGAGTGGGGGGGAGGGGAGGGGGGATAGAGGATAGGAAGGGCAGCAGAATACATCAGACACTAGTATGGCAGTATGTAAAAAAGTGGATGTGTAACCGATGTGAATCTGTAATATGTATACAGGGTAAAAAATGGGAGTTCACAATCTGCTTGAATCAAATGTATGAAATATGATATGTCAAGAGCTTTGTAATGTTTTGAACAACTAATAAAAAAAAGAAAAAAAAAGATACTTAGAGGAAAAAATAAACTGAATCAAGAAGGAAGAATTGGGATGCAAGAAGAGACGGTATATAGTGGAATTGATAAATGTGGGTAAGTATAATAAGCACCAAATGTAAATAATAATAATGGTCATTGCCTAATAATGACTGATTTTGATGGACTTAAGACAAGGTACAGCTAAAGCACTCAGAGACTGTGACTTGGGATTGGTGGAGGCATGATTAGATGTAAAGGATTTTAAGTTCCTGGATGAGGATAGAAATACTGATTAAGATTGTAGTTAAGTGTTCATGTTAAAATAGAGAAGGTTCCTTCCTTTTGTGAGGATTCAGTAAGCTTTGGAATTAAAAGCCCTCCACTGAGGGGTAATTTTTTACATGAATCCCTTCAGATGTTGTGGCTTGGAGCGTAGGGTGATGCACTTAGAGTAATGGGAGTGAAGATGACAGGAATGGCCTCAAAGGCAGCAGTCCTGAGCTTTTTCTATTCGGTTGTTGTGCTCCCAGGTGTCAGGGCCTGTCAGCATGTACCCTAGCTGAGGAGTGTGCTGTGCAAGGAATTAGCTTGAGGCTGATGGAAAATACAGAGATCTGAGCTCAAGAAAAAAATTATTTCAGTGTGTCTTAGTGCCTGGTCCTTGGTTATGTGAGGAAAACAAGTCCCAGCCCTGGCATAGGAACACACCATGCAACGGTTGCAGCCCAAGTCACCTCCCACTCCCCCAGTTGGTGTCTGCCCATCCAGTGGAAGCTCTGTGTCCTGCAACCATCACCTTCATGTGTTCCCACCCTGAGCCGTGGGTGTCTGTGCCTGTAGCTCCTCCTCAATGTCCCATTGCTTTGGGCTGTCTCTTGAAATCTCTATGTGAACTTTCCTAAGTAATTTTAGTTGTCAAGGCGAAAATGACCCTGAAAAGAATTAAGATAGGCCTCTTATATGAGCTTTAGTTATTGCACTGAACTTTAATTTCTGCATCTATAAGACTGACACTGTTAACATCTAATTGATAAGACTACTTTGAGGGTTAAATGAGCCTGTGTATGTGCAAAAAGTACCTGTTGAGTCCCTGACACTAGTAGGTTCTCAATAAATATTACTTTTATTTAAAGAAAAAAGGGGCAGTTGCTAGAAGAATCAACTCAGAAAAATTACCTAAAGTGGAAGACAAAATGAGAAAAATAAAACCTAAAAAGGACAAATAGTGGCACAATAAGTTACAGAGATAGATAAAAATGTTAATAATGAACAAATCAACAGAATTTTTTACTTGACTAGTGACTGTTAAAAAAAAATCTGGCTCTAGGCTGTTTACAAGAGAGCTAAAAGGTAAGGACCTATGAAAGGTAAGGACAAATGAAAGTTAAGGATAAAAAAAAAACCATACCAGGCAAAATCTAATAAAAAACATTTGCCGACACTATATTAATTCCAAAAGGATTTCTAAAGGATTTCTGGTTAAAATAAAATAAAAAAAACTTTACCAGGGAAGTTAGAATGGCAGATCTTATGTGATACATGTATTTTATCACAATTTTTAAAAGTTCTTCCAGAGATTAAAAAATTACCAAAGCTATAAAGAGGAAATGAACACTTCTATACTAATATACACCTATTAATGTATATACCTAGTAATGTAAGTATAAAGATTTATAAATTAAAAATTAGTTGGAGCACCATAAGAAATTGAGAAATACATTATTGAAATATGTAATTTTAACACATCTCTTACAACAACTGTTTGAACCATTATGCAAAAATGAAGAATGTAAAAAATTTGTACTTAATAATAATTATTGATTGCACATTCTTTTCAAATATAAAAATTCGCTACATAAAGGAAGTCTCAAAAAAGAATTAATTGCAATAGACTGTATTCTCTGAGAAATCCAACAATAAAAAACAACCGTACATTGGTTATTGAAA